TTTGGCGAGGCCAGGTCTAGCAGTTGTACTCTTTACGGAGTAAAGAGTGCAGAAAATAGAAATAGAGTTTTTGAGAGAACGGAGCATCCGATTCGAATGATCCAAATAACATTAAGGGGGTATTCTAGTGTAGAACGATGAATTTTAGGTCATTTTTAAAGTGTCGTAAAAGAAAGCAATGAATGTTTTTACTATCCATTTTTTACCACTTGTTTATTAATATTATTAAAATACAAAACAAAAAATTAAAAATAAAAAAGTTGAATTTGTAAAAACTGGCAGCTGATAAAGTGGTTGGTCTCAAAAAATTGGCAACTCAGTCTTGACATGATTTCAGCCCTCCTAGCCATCGGAAATGCAAAAAATAAAAAGATTATTAATCTACAATGATGTCGCAATCGCCCGAACTAGCGATGAGCAACAAATTTTTTTTTTACAAATTGGCGACTGTTTGAAAAAAAGTGTTTTTTTCCATTTTTTTTTGTTTCTCGAATTTTTTAAAAATAGTAAAAATTGGAATTTGGGGATAATCCTAGTTCAGGCTATAGTTAGGTCTATAAACAAGACTCTCTGAACATTTCAAGTGAATCGGTCGATTAAAACTCGAGAAATCGTGTCAACAGTACAGAAAAAGTCTCTTCTTAGAAAAACGCATTTAAAGTTTTGCGTGAAGCCAAACCACTATGGAGACCGAGTCAGTAAAATACCTATATCTTCGAAATTAATTCAAATTTTCAATAACCTTCTTGTTCCCATATTCTTAGATAGTTAAATTTTGAAAAAATGATATAAAAAAATCGATTTTTATGAATTTCTACACTAGAATACCCCCTTAAATTCGTAATGACGGCGAGAAGTGGTGATTAGTTTTTGGAAAAGGCAGGTTCAGCCGTTTCGAAGATACCAAGCTAAGTATGCAAAAATGGTAATTTTTGAGAGAACTAAGCATCCGATTTAAATGATTCAAAAAACTTTCTGCTTGTATTGACGAAACGAATAATTTTGGGAAAAGAAATTTTTTTTAATTTCCAAAAAAAATTTTTTTATTAAATTTTATTTTTCGATTATTTCATTGTGGTTCGGAAAGTTCCAGCAATTTCCCTTAAGGCACGATTTGCCTTAACACCACTAGTTAGATTTATTTTTTATGATTACTACATACTTCCACATACTTACACATTTATTTGAATAATGTATATATATAAATAAAATAAATAAAAAAAAATAACAATAAACAACGCTTGCCGGGACAGCTAGTATATATATATATATATTTAAAAATATCGTTAAAAGTAGCAGGCATTTTAAAACAATTGAAAAGTTCGATTATATCAGAGAATTCTAATCAATAATATTCGTTAATCAGTTGAAATATTCGTTATCAGTTGAAATATTCGTTATCAGTTGAAATATTCATTCGTTAATCAGTTGAAATATTCGTTAATCAGTTAAAATAATCGTTAAAATGAATCCGTATTTAAAAATGAGACTCATGCGCGATTTGATGAATATGCATAAAGGGACGTTGGCCGAAAAGGATTTGATTATGGCGGCACCGTCGAAGGACCTCCAGGTCTGGTTTGCAATGCTTTTTGGTCCTGACGGTACTCTGTTTGAGGATACGGTATTTGAAATGAAAATCACATTTCCTTCGGAGTATCCTATTATTCCGCCGTTCGTGAATTTGGCAACTGAGTTATTCCATCCAAACGTTGCCGACGATGGAAACTTTTACTTAGATGTTCTAACAAAAGAGTATTGGAAACCTGAGTTTGATGTTCTGCATGTCTTGAGAAGTATCCGGAACATGATAGGCCGCCCTGATTTAAAAAATGCGCTGAACTACGAGGCCGCTTTTATCTATCGTAGCGACTATAACGATTACGTGAGGAGGAACCAGAATATATCCAGACCATAGTATAGTATTTGTTCCTAATTCTGTTTATCATATCCTTGTCATATATGTGGCTTTCCGTAACACTGTTTGTTTAAATACAAATAATTATCTTCATCGTTTTAATTAATTTCTGCATTTTTATTATTATGAACTATTTAGTTTATGTAATTTAAGTTATATATTATCAAATAAAGTTCATACTTCTATGTAATAATGGGTATAATTTAAGTTGTATGAGGATCCATGATAAGGGTTGAAATATGGACTGAATCTACTAGAAACTGTCAGACAAAGGTAAATAAACGTAAATGCTGTTACGTGGATATATATAATACAATAATCTCATATAATCTCTAAAATATAACTCTCTTAAAATTTAGTATCTGTTATTGGCAATATAATCATATTTAAATCAAATCATAATTGATACTTAAATTTTGTCTATCAACATACATTATATACAACTTCCCATTAAGTATTTTAACATATTATTATTATTATATTCTATTTGAACAGAATTATATGATTTGTTGAATCATACATGCAATGAATAAATTATCCGAATATACTATATAATTACTTAAAGAAAAGTTCATGTATTTCAATAATTATTAAAGAGATCAATACCCAATGATCTTTCTGAAATTATCATATCATTAATTATTAACAGACACAAAATCATGTTTGAGGTAAAAACATTTATTGATAGCTGAATTATAATGTTTCTTCTGGTGTTGACATTTTTTCATCGGTCTTGATTTTTTTTATATAAGTTGAAAAAAGAAGTTTATTACAAGCAGTTTGAACAAAAAGTAAATACTATACATAACTTTGAGGCATATCATAGCTTTTCCAAAATGTATATTGTATTGAGCAATAGTATTTATGAGATTGCATTCTTCTTTTTTAGACGGATTTGGTTGTTGGAAACGTATTTCACATACTATAGTGGTACCATTTAAAAATTAACCCAAAATTATTACTGATATATATATGATTTATACAAAAGTTTTTATTATAGAAATTAAATACAATTGCAATATTCAAACATCTTACTGCGATTTTATATTTACGCATATCATGTTGTGAAATTAATGCACACAGACAGCATTGCTTTTAATTTTGTGTTAATACATTCTTTAATCTAATTAAATAAATGCTAGAATGAGATATAATTTGTACATTTTACATAAAATTAAATACTAATTTAATAAGCTGAGCATAGTTTATTTTAAATCATTCTGATTATCAACAAAATTATATAAATGATATCAGAATATTTAAAACCAATTATTTTATAATATTTTTACAAAAACCTTACGATGAATTCTTATAATTACACATACACAAACATAGTTAATCCTTCAATATTTGTTTGCCAATATATAAAGAACATTTTATTTGCGGTGTTAATTATTTTTTGAGACCCTTTGCTTAACTTTATTCTAACTTTTTTTAAATGATATGAGATAATAAAACAACAATAATAATTAATCACAAAATTTTAAAAAATTAGAGATTCTTGTTTTTAAATTACATCAGATACAAATGCTTACTTATTGGGAACAATTTTCATTTTATTACTATGTACTTGTTTTCAGTAAAATATTTAAATTTATTGAAGTTGAATTCTGTTAAAAAAAAAATGCAATTCTGACAACACTCGCAAACTTTATAATCGACTAGTAGTAGATAAATTCCTTATCTTTTAACTTGCGAGCTTGGCACATGGTATAAATAATAAAAATTACATATGGCAGCATATTACTCTATGAAATTATAAATCCAATTTTTATAATTCGGAATGTTTTAATAAAATGATCTAAATAAAATCATTTGCTTTTTGGAAGTTTGTTCAATTTAGTTTTAACTTAAATTATTTTATTATAACTTAAAACTAAAGCAAAAATGTACAGAAGTGTTCATAAAAGTGATTTGGAATAATCATATTCAAATTTTTTTGACATAATCTCAAAGCCATCAAATTTATGTGAAGGCTCTTTTACAAAATCTAAATACTTTTAATAGATGCACAACCAAAATGTTTTAAATAGGCTGCTAAATCAATTCATTAAACAAAGATCTTATATTTTCTAGAGCTCACAATCTATGTTTGTCATATTTTACCAGCAGCGTACACCTGCTACACATATCTGACAATTTTTAAAGATTTATTTGGCTCTAAGACTCATATTTATTGCTTTGTGATCATTTGTTGTAACCTTAGGCCTATTTTAATGGAACACTTTATAATTATTTTCTAATTTCTTTTATAAATTTCATACATAATATTAAATACCAATTGAGATCACAATGTCATGGACAAAAGTATTTATAAATAATTAAATTCTTTCTACTACTAAAACAGAGAATTTATTATTTTCTACACATTTTAGGAATGAAAGTCCGAAATTATAATAATGCAGCCAAAGTATGAAAAGTTTTTTTTTCGTTGCCTTCCTTTTTTTATAAATGCTATTTTGCATATACCTAATGTTTTTTTACATAAACTAATATAAAAAATAGTTCAAATTTGAATTTCACTTTTATAATTAATAATAAGTCTATTTGGCTTCAATTTACTATCAGGGTATCAAAACATTTGGTTTCTTACTTTTTTCTTATTTTATAAAGTTTCAAATGATATTTCAATATTCATTTTGTTACTCAATCACATTATCTGTTTTTTAATTCATAATGATTATACTATAAAATATTGATATTTACACACACACTGGGACTATTGTCATTTGAGTATTAAAGTATATCACTAATTACATTGAACTGCTCGATTATAAATGAATATTAATTAATGGAATGAAATGCTTATATTTGTGCATATTTAAATGAAATAACTATTCATAATCATTTTAACTACTTAAGAATACCTTAAATACAGATCAAATTTCCCTTACGTAATGTTTTGTACAGAAACATAATTTGTACCACCAAATAATTGTATGTGTAATAATCAATTGTACCAATTAGTATCAATTTCTATAATGGCTTAAGTGTGTTTTGGTGACAGCACTAAAATAAACATTAATCCAGTGTCTATGTTATAATTATTGATAGAAACTTACGATTGCCATAAAGTCCTTTAATAAAAATAAAAAATACACCCGGGTGTATTTAGCAATAGAAATGTTATACAAATGCTACAATCACATTCTTGCAGAGTATCTTAAAAATTCTAAACTTTTTCCTATAGATAAAAAATACTACCAAATGTTATTTAGTTTCTAATTTGAATTTAGTTGACAGTCTTCATTTTTTGATTCAGTTAAATGGTGCAATTCTGCATAATTCAGAATAGCTCGGTGAAGGAAATCATATTGTGCCTACATAAAAAAAAATCAAGTGATTATTTGAGTTATTTGAAAAGAAATACTTATTTTATCAGTTATAACTTACGAAAGTACTGAGCATACTGTGTCTTTGTGATCTTAGTTTACGAGTTGTTGTAAATATATCTACCCTTTTTTCGGTCCGTAGTTGTTGAACTAAAATACTCAATGCAACAAACATCGAACTCCTTTCAGTACCAGTGCTGTTATAAAATAAAATATTAGAAAACAAGAAAATTTTATTTAAGTTCAATTATGTAATTTTTTTTTTTATCAGACAATGAATTTGAGAAGGAATTCTGGTCTAGAGTTTGATGTTTTCAAAGTTAAACTCTTCAAGAATATGTGCACACAAGAATGTTTTAAAGTTTAAGTTATTTTTGGAAATATAGCTGTTTGACCAAGATAATACTCCTGTTTCCTTCCTATTAAAACATTAAACGCTTTTTTCTCAAAATTGTCTTTTTTGTTACACTTTAAACTTCCACAGAGTCTTCTTCATAAACTTTTCTTCAGTATCAACTATTCCAATTTTTATAATTTAAAAAAAAATTGAGAATATGAAAAAAAAACTTGAGACTCCTCACGTCATCACCTTTTTGAATTAAAACCTTATGGCTATTCTTAATTTTTATCTTTATACCTTTTTTTTTATCGTTATACCTTTTATATTCCCGAAACATTAATTAATAACATATAAAAATATATAATATATATAGTAAAAGTATTGTTTTCCTTTTTTCAGTACCTTTCAAAAGTCACACAAAATTCATGCCTCTAGACCGGAATACCCTCTTATTAAACCAATAATTTTTAAGTATTTTAAGTCAACTTGTATATTAATTTCACCTGCAATGTACTGTTATCGGCCCCGTAGCTCCACGCTGCTGGTTAGCTTGTGCTTGATCAACTAATTCAATTAATCCCCTGGTTACCTCTGGTACTTCCCCCTCTACCGTTGGCCACCCTTGGTAGTGCAGTTGAGTAATTGTAGTGCTTTCGTCAGTCTATACATAAATTTTAATTAAAGTCTTTATTGTATATCTACAAATATTTCAAATAATATAAAAAGAACATGAGGAGCCGAATGCGTTGATACCCTGATAGTAAATTCAAGCCAAATAGACTAATTATTAATTATAAAAGTGAAATTCAAATTTGAGCTATTTTTTATAATGCAAAATAGCACCTATAAAAAAAAGGCACCAAAAAAAGAAAACTTTACTACTTTGACTCCATTACTAATTTTGAACTTTCATTATTAAGATTTGCAGAAAATAATAAATTCTATTTTAGTAGTAGAAAGAATTTTATCATTTATAAATACTTTTGTCCATGACATTTTGATCTCAATTAGTACTTAATATTATGTATAAAATTAAAAAAAAAAAATAGAAAATAAATATAAAGATTTGCAGAAAATAATAAATTCTGTTTTAGTAGTAGAAAGAATTTAATTATTTATAAATACTATTGTCCATGATATTGTGATCTCAATTAGTATTTAATATTATGTATAAAATTTAAAAAAGAAATTAGAAAATAATTATAAAGTGTTCAAGCTAAGGTTACAACAAATGATAACAAAGCAATAAGTATAAACCAACAAAATTGTCAGCAAGTGTATGCTTCTGGTAAAACATGACATAGATTTAATAGGCTTTAAGAAATATATGATCTTTGTTTAATAAATTGATTTAGCAGCTGCCAATACTTTCTTTGTGCATTTGGTTAAAAAATTAGTTTTGTAAAAGAGCTTCCACTAAATTTCATGGCTCTGGAATTTTGTCAAAATTTCAAATACAAATATTAAACTTCTATTTATATTTAAAAAAATGTAGCATTCTTACATTCTATGATATTCTAAACAAACAAATCACTTACCTTTGTGTTCGTAACAATAATTTCTCGTCTAGTATGATATGGACAACTTTCACTTTGTACATATTTAACTCTGATGTGATCATGCAAAATCTCATCATCTGGCCAATAACGAGGGCATTTCCTAGGACCTTCTCCCAACTAGAAAAATAAATTACAGTCTCAATTGCATATAAAAATAAATGAAAACATGGAACATTTTAGCTTTTGGTCAAACTATGTTTTTGATTAAAAATAAATGTAATATTTACATCTGCTAACATAACAAGGGTGCTTATGCCTTGTTCTGATATCATTCTCCAAAAATCTGCAATTGTGTCATCAAGTGGATCTTGCGTCACTATGAATGATTCTGTATTGTCATATCCTTCTATAAATGAGGCATTTATATATGTTGAATGCTCTCTTCCACATATAGGTGTCAAAATTACACGATTTCTATCATAAGGTATAATTTCTTCAGATCTGTTTTTCATTATATTTTCTTCTCCTATGCCTACAGAATATGGTTTGCGGTCTTCCATGATCATCTTGAATTTCTAAACAGAATTTTGTAAACTTAATGTCTGTTGAATCAAAATTTAAAAGATTTTAATATTACACTACTCACATCAAACTCTTCATCTAGTTTGCATCTGTCTTTATCATTTTCTTTACTTCTCAACTTATCAATAGTAGACTTCAATTTATTCGCTGGAATTTCGGTGTCACCATACTGCCCTACTTCCATTAAAGTGCGATAAACAAATATGTATTGTTTCTGAAATAAAATTATTACTTTAATCAATATCAAGTAACAAAACATAAATTTGTCAGATAAAAAAAAAACAATTACCAGTGATTGTACAAGGAAATTTCTTTGGTGTCTCATATCACAAACTGTGTTGAAAATAGCAACTTGTCCTTCTTCTTTGAGTTGTTGCAACAAATTATCTAATGCAACTAAAGTGCCTGTTCTACCTACACCAGCACTGCAATGTATCAAAATAGGCCCATGCTCAAAAGAATATGCCTCATTCATTCTTTTAATGAATTTCAATATTCCATGCGGATGTTCTGGGGCCATAAAATCCTTCCAAACCAAGAAATGATATTGGAAAATATTACGTTCATCAACTTCTCTCCCTGATATATTTCTGGATACTTTCAATTCACGAACAATATAATCTGAATATCTTGTCTCTTGAATATGTGCTACAGTAATATCTCCATATATTTTGTCTCCATCAGTTTTTTCTGGCCAATACTTTGCGCATTTTGTTTTACTATACTCTTCTAAATTGGTCAACATCAAAATCAGTTCTAAATGCTGTTCCCATATCATTCTCCAGAAGTCATTCACTGTATTTTCCATAGGACCTTGTGCACAGATAAATTTCTTTCGCTCTTTATACCCCATCACAAAGTTTGCATTAATGTAATCAGAGCCTGTTACAGAATCAATTTGAGCAAGCTTTACTCTTGTTTGATCATATGCTTTAATGTCTGGGTATCTATTCTTGTATAAGTTCTCACGAGCCTCTGATGCCCTTGTTGTACGGTCCGGAAAACGATCAGGAAGCAACTAGTAACAACAACATTAATTAATAAAAACTATAATAGATCACATATGATAATTTTAAGAGGGTAAATTTAAAGTCTGCCAAATTTTTTGACACCCTCCCCTTTATTACCATCTAGAATTTAAACTTTATGACTTTTAAATTTAATATTTTTTTATATTCTCAAAACATTAATTAATAACTTAAATTAAAAAAATGTAGTAAAAATATGGTTTGCCTTTTTTACGGTCTTTCAAAATTCAAATCAAATTTCTTACCCCTAGAACAGAATACCCCTTTAATATTTCAAAAGAATTCAGAAATATAGTTCTCTTTTCGGTTAATGATAAAAAATAAAGAATCAATGATAAAATATTCTTTTTTATTTTGTTTAATGAGACAGAAATTTTACAAAAAGTCCATGTTTAGCTTTGTTTTATATAAAGTACTTATAACAACGGAACCTCAAATTCATGTTGAAAACCATAATCTGAATCTTTATGCCGTTCCATGTATGCATTCAGCAAATCATCTTTCTGTATGGGTACCATATCAGGAGGGCTTAAGGACACTAGTTGATGACGTCCTCTTAAACTTCTACAAAGATGTCTGGAAACAAGACTAAATATGCTTACTGAAAGTTTTGTTCTCTATATAAGATTATTCAAAAATTACCTGAACGAATTTCTTAATGTCATCATTTCTACTCCTTGTGCTTGAGCGACTTGTTTAGTATATCTATGCAGCAAACAAAGTGACAATAAAAGGAACAAAACAACTAAAATCAACCCACAGAAAAGTTGTATCACAACTCCAAGTATGTCAAATGCTCCTGGTGCAAAAGGAAATTCTGGTCCAGGATTTAATAAAACAAAGTAGTCACTATAAGCAGGTATAACTAGACCTGGTTTGGAACCATACACTAAAAATAGAAAAAAAATAAATAAAAACAATTTAAGTATTGATGTGAGAAATGTTTCAATATAAACATTTGAATTTTTATGTACACAATGCTAGTTATTATAACCATTTTCAAATTTAAGAGATAATTCATCTAACAAGAAACTGTAGATATATATATTTTAAAAATACTTCATTTAGAGAGAACTATCTATTTTCAGATTACATTTAACATTAAGTTATACAAAAAAAATACCCATAATTGTGATAATCACCCATGATTTCAACAAATCCTGAATAGTTACTCTGAGAATCAAGTTGCCCATCAAATATAATTGGAGGATGCAATTGCTCAGGGCCAAGATCTCTTCTTCGCCTCGACAAAAGCTTCAATGTTTTTTTATCCATTTCCATAGCAGGTACTGCAGTAGCAGTGAAATTCAGTGTTGGCACGGCTGCCAAAGATGGTATTATAGCAGGCACATCTTTTGTATCTTTTATTGTCAAAGATGGAATTGAATTAATTCTCTTTTGCTTCAATCCTATGCATTGTTGGCAAGCAGCCACACTTGAATTAACAGTTCGCCCATCGCCTAAAAATACTTCATTGTTCAGCATGTCGCTTGTGAACATTTCTGCTACATAGACACCTCCTGATGGATTCTTATGTACTGCTTCATAAGTTGATATCGACAAATCTTCAGGTCTAGGTAAATCAGATATTGTTTGATGGTTCACCATACGAATGATGAATATTCTATAGCAGCATATGCGACCATTTCTCTCTGACACTCTGGGTAGGTCTAATTTGAACATCCAGTTGCCATGTTCTTCAACCTTTCCCCAGCTCAATCTTAGAAAATCATCTTTATTTGGAATTGTAGGTGGCATGGTGCAGGTTTTTGTAGTCTTTTCACCTGGTTTTTTGGTCCTAGTTACACCGGCCACATGTACTGTGTAATTAGTGTTTGCAGGAATCATATCAAATCGTGCATTGTAGGATGTATCAGCTATGCTTTTCATCTTGGGTGTCAATGTTTCATTGGTTTGCAATCCGCGATTTGTTTTGTAAGTGGCATGACCTTCCAGAATCACATTATAGTGTGTGATTTTACCATTTTTATTTAATGGTGGTCCCCAGCTAACATTAACAAAAGTTAAATGACTAATATTGTCAAAATGGCAAATAACAGTGACATTTTGTGGAGGACCCGAGAGACCATCCATAGTAGTCCCATTTACAATCTCAGACCAATTGCCACACAAATGTGTGTAATCACTACAAGCGCGAGCTTTAAAATAATACATTGTGGCCGTTTTCAATTCTGCAAACATATAAGGCAAGTTACGAGAATCTTCAGGTTGTAAAACTTCCTTCTTATCAGTTGAATTGTATTCTTGAGCGAGTAGTTCATAATAATGTATATGTTCCAGTAATTCTGTAGGTGGGGCAGTCCACCCAATGGTTATGGTATTAAATGTATTACCTTTTACCTCTATTTTAGGAATGAAATTAGGATCTTTTTTAAGAGTCCTTACAAGATAAGCATATTTATGATATTGCCCTATACCTAGCTTGTTCGATGCAGCCATTTGCAGCTTATATTCAGTATTTGGCTTTAAATTTTTCAATACAAATGAATAATTGCCTCCATGTATTTTTTCATTATAAAAAGTGTAAGACCCAGTACCTTCTTCCATGTATTGTACAAAATATTCTGTAACTGGATCATTCCCATCATTGAGAGTCCAATTCATATAGATTTTATCAGCACCAACTGCTTTGACAAAGTCTATGCTAACTTGTGGCTTTTCCAGCACCAGTACAATAACAGAATCATTATGTATATGACCAAAGGCATCCTCTGCAATACAATAATAAGAGCCATTATCCTTCCTACTAATTGCACCCAAATGTAAGGTCAAATTCGCCCTTGTTGCATTATTAATATAAGTAATGTTACTTTTTTCTTTCAGCAAAGATATTGTCGTAGAATCATTGCCCCTTAACCAATAAAATTTTCCAAATGGAAAACCTTCAAATAAACAATACAACATATGTTCACCATCAACATTTGATTTTAGCTTGTTAGATTTAGATACAGTAACTATTGGTGAGTAAACATCTAATGTTGCATGCTTCCTTAAAACTTGATCATCAATTGCAACTGTGCAAGTATAATTTCCCGAGTCAGCGTGGGTGATATTGTGGATGTGAAGGCTTGATGTTATAGAGTTTTCTTCAATTTCTTGTAGAAAGTTATACCTAAAAATGAATATTGATTGTAATGTGTATTTGAAACATTATTTTGATTCGTACATCACTTAAGACAACCTTTCATTATCAGATATGTTCACCCCATTGAATTCCCATGTAGGTGTAACATCCGGAGCATTGTATATGCAAACAATTGTCGAATTCAATCCTACTTTTACCGGTGTTACCGTAATTTTGACTGATTGAGTATATTCTGTGAATCAAAATGCAAGAGTAAGTATCTAAGGTAAAAGTTAGATTTTGGTTAAGTAATAAAATACTGAAAGTCTTCAATGTGTGCACTTACCCTCGCAGCTTATTGTCGAAATATAAATTATTGATAGGATACATGGCAAAATATAAATAATGTTAAGGGCTGGGTCCTTAAACATGGCGTCAAATACACAAGCCGGTCTTTACTTATAATATATTAACTACGCAAAACATTATTTCGCATACGTTACGCACAAAGCTAATTATCCTACTTAATTAATTATACACATACGCAAATCACCAAAAATCATCTAAACTGACAATAAACACAAAAGCATATCAAACAACACACAAGCTACTCCTGTCACTTGACTGAGTATGACCATATATTGTTGTATGACACTTTGACACAGCTTTCGGTCATGAAATGTTACCAGATCTGATCCTTTATTATCCTTAAGGACACCACACACGAAATAGCGATGCGTTTCGGCGATCTTCGGCCATGCGTGGGCCAGGCGTATATTAAGGGGTAACGCCATTGATGTAAATTTTGATTTAATTCAAATACTTGTCAATCAGAATCAATATTTTACGTATTTTTTTTGTTTTTAGATCCACACTTGCAGTAGCTTGCTTTGCAAAAATGGTGAAAATTGCGATTTTTAAATATTTTGTTACAAAAATAATGCTTATATGCTAAATAACTTTCTTCAATATTATAATTAAGTTCACGTAGGGCAAGTTATAGTAATCGGAAAAAAATCGAAAATGAAAATTTTTATATATCTTCACGTTTCAAAACCTTCTGAACATTTTGGCATACCTTAGAAAAAAATGGACGTATGTGTGTGTGTGTGCATGTGTGTTCGGATACAAATTTTCGTCGATTTCGGGAACACGGGTGAAGCGATTTGAATAATTCAGAAAACATTCGATTCGTATTGATAAGGAGACGTGCTGATTAGTTTTTGGCAAAGGCAGGTCTAGCCGTTCCGAAGATATGGGGCAAAAAGTGCCAAAAACGGTAACTCAGTATTTAAGAGAATGGAGCGTCCGATTTGAATAATTCAAAAAACATTTTACTTGTATTAACAAGATTTTAACAATAAGTATAAATTTTATTTACATTCCTATTACCAGTGTTTATCCGTTAGACGGCGACGCGGCGCTTACGCGCTTCGATATTTTGACTGTATGCAGTTAAAGCAGTACGATTGCTTTGAAAAAAAGTTCAGAATTTCCAAAACATTTAAAAATAATTTTTTTTTTGAAAAGTCTTTATTTTTCAAAAAAAAGTAAGTTTTTGTCAGAAATTTATAGTTTCTTAAAAAACTATTTTTTTCAGAGTAATTTTTTTTCAAAAATGTTAATATTTTTTTTTTTTTTAATTTTTTGGTACTGGAAGTTCCAGCAATTTGCTTTAAGGCACGATGCCATGCGCCCCACTAGTTTTATTACCTTTCGTTCCATCCAATAAAATCACAAAAAAATCTATTTTAAGTTGGGTCTGTGGTGTTAAAGCTTATTTCGCTTGCTTACCAAAATATACTGCCCTCAAAGAATATATGAAATATATTAATGTTCGCACTTTCCGTAGGGCAAATTATAGTAATCGTATAAAATCCAAAATGAAATTTTTTATACATCTTTACGTTTCAGAGGTTTCCGAACACTTTGGCTTACCTCAAAATGGATGTGTGTACTATATATCAACCGACCGGCGCACGAATCAACCGATTTGAATGATTAAAAAAACATTCGATTCCTATTGATAATAAGACGTGCTGATTAGTTTTTGGTGTAGACAGGTCCAGATGTTTCAAAGATACGGGGCAAAAAGTGCGAAAATGGTAATTCAGTTTTTGAGAGAACGGAGTACCCGATTTGAATGATTCAAAAAGCATATGTTATTTGTAATGACGAAATGAATCGGTTTCGGAGATACAGAAAAAAAAGTAAAATAAAAAGATCGTTGGCGGTCAAAAATGAACATTAGACAAATTATCAGATATTTGATAAATTTTTTAAAAATGAATACTAATTTTGTTACAATTTTGTTGGGTTTTATACCAAAATTTTTGATTTTTAAAGTTTACGGTTCAAGTAAATTTCAAAATTTTCAGAATAAATATTTTTCCAAAATTTTCAAAAAATATACAAAGTTTTATACTTCAGATAAGAATTTTAATTTTATAATTCAGTTTGAAAATGTATATATTTCAAATGTGTTATTCTAATCGTAAGAAATATATCCTCACATGGATTCATTTGGCACCTCTTGCTAATGTAAACTTTCTCAAGTGCTTTGAGGATAAGATCATCACTGTATATTTTATGAATGATAAAATATATAGTAATTATAATTATCTATTTGAAAATGTTTGAAACAATTGTTATTAATCATTAATCAGTATTTATTGATTACTTCTTACTATTCTTTTTTTTCGAATAATTAATTCTGGTACGTAAAGTTTCAGCAATTTGCTTGCCTTAAGGCACGTTGCCATACTATATCATATTTTGTTACAACTATAATAAATAGTTTGCTATAACATATATTTTGTTACAACTAAATTAATTTTTTGTAGTGAACTTTATTCGGTCTTAACGCTATCCTAATTGTAACATTGGCTTTTCTAAACTTGTATTATAAATACTGAAAAAAGAATTAATGAACCATTTCATAAATTACCACGAAATATATTTTATATTATCCTCTACATTGACTTATATTTAATTATACTCTACATTTCTTGCAAATAACAATGGAAATATTTTACTTACGATTATCAAACACTATATTAAATAAATTAATTTTAAGAACACTGTGAAGTACAATATCTCAAGTATAAGAAAATAATTCATAGATATTTTATATAAGATGTAAGTTTCTATTTTTATTATCCGAATTTTATTAAAAGTAGCCTTATCAAAACATTTAATAAATATTGCTTATGGTCGTCAGTACTCTATAATAATACTGATATCATTGCTCATAATGCAAATATATTTTTCAAATCCTTTCGAATTGTAAATGAATTCCTCCTTTTGGCGCTAAAAACATTGCCTTAGAATCTAGCTGAAGTGGAACTCGAGTTTTCTCACAAGGTGTGAAATGGAAATCTTTTAGTATGTATGCGAGACCAACTTTTGTCTGCAATAAGCCAAATCTTTCACCTGAATAAAAAAAAAATGTTTTAAATTGTAATATGATTACTTATATATTAAATATTAAGTATATCATTATCTATGAATGATATATTGCTAAAATTTAACTCCAGTTTAATTTTTATTTTATCCAGCTTACCTATACAGTTATGTGGTCCTGCTCCGAAGGGCATATAAGTATATGGGTTTCTATTTTGTTTCATATCTTCTGAAAATCTTTCGGGGTCAAATTTGTCTGGGTTTGGATAGTACTAAAACATAAATAAGTTATATGTATAATATCCTGTTTTATGTTGAAGCATTTATATAGAGAAATGGAAAAGCATGATTTAAACACATGTAAATATTTTTTGTACGAATGTTTTGAAAATATAATTCGATATACACAATTCATGATTAAAATTTACCTTTGGGTCCATATGTATCGCAAGAATTGAAAGATATATTGGTGTTTTTGGCTCCAAAACTACGTGATCGTAAGGAGGAGGCAGTCGATATCTCGATGTACACATTCGATCCAAAAATGGGAGAGTAGGGTATTTCCTCAATGTTTCTATTTAATAAACATAAATAATGTACATAATATAAAAAACATATTGAAGATTTTGTCCGAAATATTACCGCTAAGCACCATGTCCAAATATTTCATTTCTTTTATAGCTTCATATGTTATACCGCCATGTTCATTAATTTTTTCTAAAATTTCCGCCCGTAGTCGATGTTGAATTTCAGGCTGCAAAGCTATTTCATACAATGTGAATGACATTGCACCTGATGACGCTTCGTAACCTGCAGCAAAAAATACAGCTGCCTGAGCTACTAATGTATCACCTTCAAATTCTATAAAAAAACAAATTATGTTCACCTTGCTGTAAAGATTTATGATAAATAAAAGCAATAAAATTTTATATATACTTAGTGAACCAGATGCTGCTTCATTATTTTTAAGGTCTATTAACATATCAACCAGATCATGTCTAGATGTACCAGACTTGATGCGTTCGCCCAACACTTCGTTAAACGATTGACGCAAAAATTTTGTGCCATATTTCTCGAATAACTTAAATCCAAGAATACTTACTACTTCTGGGAAAAAGAAAAATGCACTAATTTCTATCGCACGCTTATATTCAGCGGCAAATATTCTTTTCCCTACGGTGCGAAATTCAGCATCCGGATTTTTAAACGAATTAGCTTGAATTCCAAAAGCACAAGAAGTTATTACATCTGTCGTATACTTTGCACACAAATCCCGCATATTGTCTATATTTCTATTTTTTAATGTTGTATTCATAAACTCGTTAAATTCTTCTCCTACTTGTGTTATTAATGGAAACATACTCTTCATTTTCGCCGTTGAAAAAATAGGCGTCAATTTTACTCGCATTTCTTTCCATAAAGGATTCTTAATTCTGAATAAATTTCTTGATCCTAGAGCATCAGTGTGGCCATCAGTTGAAGAGACACGATCTTGGAACATGTTGAAATCCTTGACCAAAATTGATTTGATCCAAGATGGATCTCGTATGAATAAAGAAGGTCTGGAAACACAAAAAATACCAAGAATTGGTTTCTTGCGTTTTTTGTAAAACGACATTACGAATTCTCCTGGACTGTTTTTCATTAAAACAAAATCCTTGAAGTTTCCGACAAATGGTAAAGGCCATAAGGTAGGAACTTTTCTCGAAGACCAATATAAAGCATGGTTCACATAATAATAAATTGATATACCGATTAATGTTAATAATAATAATAGTGAACTATAGATATTAAAATCCATGGATTCCATATTCGAAGTTTGTAATTCACTTGCACTTGCACTATTAAATTAATAACTTTGTCACTCAATTATAAATAATTTACTGCTCATAATATCTTATCTAATCTTTGTTTATAATGTCCGGCTTATTATAAGTTGCTGATTTTGCAAGTAATTACTGCAGATTATTATCAGTAGTGTTCTCTTCAAAACCAAAGTTTTAACTAAATGAGAAATACAATGTCATAAGCCTTTTTCCATCGTTGGAGTCGTTATGACGCACATGCTTCAGTGCATCATAATGATTGCATTCGTTCTAAATTGCATAATACACGATTCTTTTTTATTTTCTTTACCAAATTACAATCTGTCTTTATGAAAACAT